CGACACTCAGATGGCGAAAAGTAGAGAAGAAAAAAGACGCGGAGGTGGGACGGACACACAGATGTTTCCCAGGGACCGAGGAAGTCCCGTCCATACTCACATGCGGACAAAGAGCGACTGTTTCGCGGCCAGCCCGGGGGACGAGTACTTTTCCACCAGCGCCAGGGTGCTGAAGCCAAACTTGTGAATGGGCTCGTTGGAATCCAAGGGTGGAAAATCTGTGTCAACCTCGCCGTCATCCTCAGCAATATGGAGACAGTAGGCATTGACGTTGTCGCTGGAACAAGGACAACACGAGTTTATTCAGGAGGAAGCTCGACAGCCGGCTCGGTTCAGCCGACCACCACCAGTCGCTAAACGCTGCAGAACCGAACCAGCGCCCACGCCAACCCAGCCGCCGCCCCGGTTGAGGCCGGGAGCCACAGTTAAACCCCTGATGGCAGGTACATAGATATGTCCCAACAAGGTCCCAACGTATCTTGCTACCATAACCGTGCGGTAACAGAAAAACCCCAAAACCTCAGAGGGAAGCGGCGAGCCTTACTCCCCCAGCAACCGAGCTGCCAGCGAGACACTGGCAGGGACGAAGGCACGCTAGAGTCTGGGAAAGTTTCATGACTTCATAAAGCTGGAAGTAATATTTCTCCATTTGTGAAAATTTATTTATTTATGTGACCGTTACATTTTAGGATTAAAGACAAACAAGCAGTGTCCATCTATTTTTTCACGGATCAAGCAACCATGAAAAAGTTTATTGAATGCAGGCTGGAGAAGCAGGAACGCTCTCGGGCAGGTAAACAGCCCAACAAACTACAGGAAAAATAAAAAATCTGGTCAATGCAGTGGCAATGGTTAGTAGGAAAGCTACCTTTTGTAAGAAGTCCCGTCACTAAAAGTTAAAAATCAGCACAGATTAACAAGCAGAACTAAATAACACAGAAAGTTTTAAACAGCTAGAGTGTGAAGGAAATACAAAAGAAAAATCTAAGATTCTTTCTTTCCACATACGAAAGCCCATAGGGAAATAACCATCTATATACACCAGAGCATTAATCGTATTTTCCTAATATTAACAAATGGTCATATTTAAATATTGAGCTGAAAATAAGTATTCGTTCTTATTGTAAACTGCGAGCATTCGGGTGTTTTCCACAGCCAGGGAGCACAGGCTGACTGTTCACGTGGCAGGGTGTTTCTCAACTCTGCAGTTTAAATTTGGAGTTTTAATTGCATGATTGATGCTTAAATTAATTAATCGCAAAGTGTATGCTAATTGTTTAATTGGTCGCTTGATCTATATAGATCATTTTTTGAATTAAATGAGTTGATTTACAAAGTTTATTGATTGGATGTGACAATGAATTATTTCGCTGATTACCTGATTTGCAATTTTCTCAATTAATTCACAAGCCTTTGGTTGCAACTGGGCTTTATGGAGAGTTCTCAGTCCAGGTGATCTATTTGCACCTTGTCATGACTAAGGCATTTATTATATCAAACAGGTAACAATGATGCATTGCTACCAATGTAAGCTGTACATTTGCTAACCAAGAGGCAACCCAGCAATGTCTGTCACTAAGAATTTTGAAAATTCTGCAATACTGTTAAGGAAACTTTCAGGAGTCTCTGGACCATGATGAAGAAGTGGACCATTGCTGGGGAATTAATTTTTAACTTCTTCAAGAGCGTGTAAGTAACTTTGGATGGAATGTAGAAGTACAACAACTGACAGATGTTCTTAACTTCTAAACACAGCAACGTTATTTGAATTTTGCATCTGACAATTTATTCCTAGAAAGGGATTTTGTTTATTTTTTGCAGGCGGAATCGTTACAGCACATGTCAGGGGTTGGCAAGAGAACAGTCCCCTGGGTCCTGACCAGAGTTCATCTGTAAGAGGCCAGGAGCAGGGCTGCTAACAGGCGGCGGCTCCTCCTCTCCCGACACTGAACAGAGACAAACGGAACACGACCCAATGAAAAAGGCTGAACTGGACACACAACGTCCTCGAAGCTGTCAGCTAGCAGTCCCTCCCTGCACACTCTGACATCTACCTTCTAGGAAAAGGACTTAGGCTGTAATGTATTCTTTTCCTAACGAGCGAGGGGCTGTTTCTCTTCATTACAGGGTGTACAGCCTCCCCATCACTCTCCAGCCGTGTCACCAGCAGGCAGAGCTGTCACCGCGGGCGCTGGGGGCAGATTTGAAGCAGCCTCGGTATGTGCTTTAGTGCAGTGTCACCACGATCCCGACTCTTTTCACACTCTGAACTGACCAGAGCAGGAACAAGCAGCAGAGGCAGGATGTGCAGCCTACACAAGCTCTTTCCTTGTTTGGGAACGATGAGAACCAGCTGACAGCTGAAGCAATCCTTGCTACGGACTGGCAGTCAGCAGTGCTGAAAGAAGGTGATGGAGACATGAGAAATAATTAAGGACTACACAAGAAAACAAACTTCTTGCAATCTTGGGGCTCTGCCCCTTCCTCTGAGCATCTGTGCCCAGATCCCCAGCTGCTGCTGTTGAGCTGTTCTGGGGAACTCACGCCTCCGTTAGCTGTTTTGTTATTTCTGTCCTGAGATTTGATTACATCAGACAGCCTCCTTGGTCACGATCGCTCTTTGACACATCACAACATCCTATCCTTCAAGGCAGACAGTGAAAAAACCATTTCCTCCCACTGCTGACTTTTGCCGTGGGCAATGGTGTTTCACGAAGTACCTCTGCTCAGGGGTGTTGTTCCGTTTGAGGTGTGCTGTGCTCCTGAAAAACATACGTGTGTCCAACGCTTGCCATTAGTGGTGCCTTACTCATTAACAAATGAGCTGATCATACACAAAGGACACACTTTGGAACTTACGATACAACGAACAGAAATTAATAACAGCAAATGAAATGGCACCATCTGCAAATAATTTCATATTTCTTCTCCAGTGTAAAAAAATGACAAATCAAACTGAAGTGTTTAACCTCTGAGACATCTCATATGTCTGTTGAGAAGAGCTAAGGGAAATCCTATATCCAAGGCAACAATATCCATGAAATTGTTTCAAGAGCAGCTGCCTTTCTGTGTTGCCCTGTGTCTACTAACCAGAAACCAGCTCATCCTCCAGGACAGCTCAGGTGATCTCTCAGCACCTCCCTTTCCCCCTTACAACTGTGCTACAGCAGGAGAGGAGACTACGGAGTCCTCAAACGCTTCTGAAAAATGCTGAAAGAGCAAACTGTAAAATTCAGTGCCAAACAAAAGATTCAAATATTCCAAGAAATGAAAGAAGTGAAAATCAGCTCATAGAGAAAAAACCACAACTGTTAACTGTCTTTGCACCAGGAAAGCCACTCGCTAGTATTTGTTATTAATAACTATAATAAACTATTTTCTTATTTTATGTTCTGTGACCCAGCAAAGCCAGAAGTATTGTCCAGAAGTGTTTTAAAACCAGAGTGGCTCAGAGGAGCGGCTCTGCAGTACCTGTTCCACCCTCGGTCACCTCTCACTCGCTATGGCTCAGATCTCTTCTGTGGCTTCAGCAGAACACCAACAGCCCTCCCAAGCCGCACCGCCACCCAGCGCAGCGACTCCTCTCGCTGTGAATCCGTAGGAGGACCCGGCACCGCACACGCCAGAGCCAGAGCCCGGTACCTCCTCTCGGAACACACCAGAGAGGGAGCTACCCCTGGGTCCTGGGGGTTATTCCACCTCCTGGTGACTTTAGCCGTTAAGAACAAAACCAAAAACCAGGTGGGACACAAAGCAAGAAGTGTCTCTGTGACACCAAAAGAGGTAAGATTTATATTATTTTTCCACAAAGCGTTTTGAAGCGATGATCCCCTCACAGATCCAGGGTTTCACCTGCTTATCATCAGACAGCACCCAGCAGCTCAACTGAAAGAGGAACGGACTGAGACGCACATGTGCTGCCCAAAAGGAAACGCTCATGAACACCCAGGTGGCTTCTCTAAGATTTATCTATAAAAAAATTAACATGGAAATCCATTTCTTTACGCAAAAAGGCTGCAGAGGAGAAAATTAGAGATCAAGAGGTAGTAAAGAAAGAACATTACTTCAGTTTCGGTTCCCGTCCCTCACTTGTGTATTGCCAGCATATGAGTCCAATCAGGTCGTGCACCTTGGCATTTGCTATCGTCACAACTGTCATGGGCTGGAGTTTGTCTTGGCTTGTGTGCAGCGGGAGGTAGACATCAATTTTTTTGGTTGCCGTTGTACCAACGTGACCCTGTCGAGAAAATATATTTCATTAGAATGTATAAAAGAAAAAGTACAACAGAGCTAATACAAAACCTGGCGCGGATGGAACGCTTTTCAGTGGTAAGACTGAAATACACTGCCACGACTTAAAACTGAAAGAAGCTTGAACGTTTGAATTCCAATGCTTTTATTGCTGTTTAATGTCTTTGTAAGGATGACATGAAATACTTGGCAACAATTTCACAGATTTCCATAGTCTGAACTTCACTGCAAGATTCCACACTTTTCAAGGATCAAAAAAAAAAAGAACAAGGGGGGGGGGAAGAGAGCTGGCACGCCTGCCTAAAGCTTCAAACCCATTTTTCCATCAGCATTTAATACCAGCATGACTCGTGTTTCTACATTTCTGCTTTCTTCTGTAGTTCTCTACCACTACTCGACAAGCTCACCTCCCTCCATGCAGGACTCACCGAGCCGCGTTCCCACGGCCAGCATCCCTCCCTGGTACCCGGGCACAGGCAGCACCGGCGCAGCCCGTCTCACCGCGGGTCACTCCAGTGCTGGGACACGCCAGGACTGCCAAGGCTACTTGCTTTTCGGTGTTCTAGTTCCCCTCCAGCTTCAGCTTGGGACTCCTCATCCTCCTCCTTCCCCTGCCCTGCACACCGGGACCAAACGCCGGGAAACACTCGGCATATGGAAAAGGGGACCCGGAGCCTGGCTGGCACCTTCCCGCAGCACAGAGGGAAAGGAAGAGCCCACCACGGCTGGCAGCGGTCTGTGCAGATAAACCAGTGAGACCCGAACGGGGAGCTCAGCGATGCCAACAGTCCCAAAACAGCGACCGCAGGCGCGGGTGGCAGCCAGCCCCACGCGCTGCTCCTCGAGGGAACCAACCCAGGGAACATCGCCCACGCAGAGAGCTGCGGCCAGGACGAGCGTCGATCTCGCGTGGAGGTTAAGATGACCTTTAAAAATAAACCTCAGGCTTGTACTTGGTTTGCCAAGAGAATTTTAAAAAATCACAGATGTAACTGAGTCATTAAACTATTTTGAGCTATTTGAAGACAACCAAGAAGGATTAACTAATATTAGTTTTTATTGGAACTTACTGTATTAAAAAAATCTATTTGGCACTATGGAGGTTAACAATTCAATAAAACATAAAATACATAGCAACATGAAGATCTATAAAGTTTGCATTACAAGAAAAAATGTTTAATCTACTGCAGACAGGACTGCATTTTTAAACCAGCAATCTTTTAAACAGACAAAAGATTGTACATCCTGATCCCCTCTCCAAAACCCCCCCCCCATGTAACTATATATCTCCAGCTATCGCTACACATGCATGGGCCTTGAGAGAAGAAAGTATTATTCGAATTAATCACTCGGAATTCTAAGTAATAGCATAAAAGGATTCAATACTATAAATCTATGATGGGAGTATAAAACAGGGAGCTAAATGCCATGCACTAATTTCAATCTATTGTTAAAAACCATTTGATCCTTCAGTGTGATTATAAATTAAAGAAATAATAGGAATTTACAGATTAAAGTTATTCATACTAGCATAGCTAAAAGTATTATTAAAATCCATCCAAATATAAATGAATTTGTTTTTAAGAAAGCATTTTTGTAGTGTAGATACCTCCTCTTCCCATGTTTTTAATGTAAGAATAAATTGGTTTTACTAATTTAAAAGGAAAGGTTGGATTCGTACCAGAACACGGGACACTCCTTCACCTTGGGTGGATAAACCTGGACAAGCCTTTGGACGAGCGAGTTGGTGTGCCCGGGAGTCTCCGAGATACCACCACACCCACGACCACACCTCGCCAAGGAAATCATCAACACAACAGAACAACAACTGCTAAAAAAATAAGGGGTTTTTCTTGCTTGCTTGCTTGCTTAGTCCCAGTAATGGAAAATACAAGAAAAACTGACAAGCAGACGTGCGAGCCGATGCCAAGGTGACAGCCGACGTACACAGCACAAAACCAGAGAACGGACCAACGAGCCCAGACCCCAGACCTGTGACCACGAACCAAACAGACCCGATGACTCCACTGGCCACTACTACACGTGCAAACTGTTTTATAAGCTCATCATCCAATAAATGTGTATTTATAAAATAAACACACCTTAGGGACCCTGACCTCACAGCCACCACAAACGAGATGGTAACTTCCCCTGTCCGACCTTTCACCGTGCTTCTCTTTCCGCTCTGCCCTGTGCTCTGCTCTTGCTTCGGGTTTGTGCGGTTTTAGATAAACTCATCTTTGTTCTCCCCCATCTCTAAACCTTCCCTACCTGCTCCAGTCTCTTTTTACCTTCTCGTTTGTCCAAGCTCCCTCCATCACCGACATCCTTGCTCTGTCACTCACAAACACTCAGCATGAACGTTATGAGGAGAGGTGATGATTTAGCCCCAGGGTAACTCGTACCCGTGTTTGGGTTCCAGGGGCTCTCTCAGCACAGGGAGCGATACCAGCAGCACTGGGAAAGGGCTCAGAGGCATCACTGCTATACTCAGGATCTTCAAAAAAGTGAGTGAAATACTTTTATTAATTAAAAGTGCTGTAAAACTGATTGCCATAAGATATTAGAGAGGCTGAATCCTGAGATTTGGAAGCCAACAGGACTTTCTATTAGTTGTGAGAACATCCATCGTCACGTTAGGTAGGAGACATGAGAATGGCCGAGAGCCACGGGGGTCAGGGCTTGGACTGATCGATGGCCAGGGCAAAGGGGCTGGAGGAAACTCCACCGCACTGACTGCGAATTGATGACATTTGTTCTGAACCGGCACTAGAAATCCAAAGCATCAGGTACCTGTCCACAGGATGGAGTGAATCCATACTCTTAGTCTGATCCTGCAAAATATTAATTGTGTGGGAAGTCCCACAGAGCTCAATTACTGCCCCGTGCCAAGCCCATTAGGTAAGGATTTGTAGGTGGGAGGGAATAAAAGGATCCAATTATTAGTCTCCGTGGCCAGGAGTCAGCGACGTGGCCACGCTGGATTTAACTGGCAATAACTTCTGGGGTTTAGACGGAGCTTGGAGCCTCTGCTTTAGGAGCAATCATTAAGAACTAGATTACAGACACTACTGGAAGCATAATTACTTTTTTCTCCCAACTAAAAATTGTACTCCAACTGTAAATGCTGAGGAGACCCAGAAGATAAAGTACAATTACCTATATTCAAAAAGGCAGCATCAAACTTTATTAATAGTTCCTGTATAAAATTCAATGGAAAATCTATCCAGGGCCAGGGGCCTTACCATTTGGAGATTCCTTAATAGCCTCCAATAAATCTGGGAAGCATAAAGGGGCTGTTAAATTAACATTTTCCTGATCTGTCACCTGTGGCATAGTTAATTTGTCAAAAAATTCTTTTAGCTTGTCACTGGACACTGTATATTCTGACAAATGAAGTCTGGAATAAAATTGACAAAATATCTCGTTAATTTTCTAGGAAATCACAAATCTGATTCCATTAAGCTTTTATTGTTAGAAATGTTCTATTCCACCAGTCCTGAAAGGAAGTCAGGAGTAACTGGATACACAGAAAACAGACAGTAAATCACAGAAAAATTTCTTAGTATTTTTATTAATTGATTCTCTTAAGGCTACCTAATGCTCTCCCACGGTCTGATCTCATGAACATTCCCATTTGCTATTTCTGTAGCATCTTCATCTCACTCAAAGCAAAGCTGATGGTTCACCACCTGCATTCACTGGAGGAGACACGGTGCTGTGAGCGGACACAGGTTTGAAGAGGCAAACACCCAGGGATACTACTTCCCCAATTATTGCCAGTGATAATCAAAGCCTACGAGAAAATATATACCTTCCTCCAGTGCCAGATGATGTAAATCTTGAACTGGTTATTGGGGAACCACCAGTATTCTTCTACATGACACAGGGAGTTTGGTGCAGCCTGCCCATCCTAGGACAACTCCCCCCTAAGCACAGCGCTGGGAAGCCAAGGAACCAGCCACTGAGAAAAACACGGACGCTGGATCCTGCTCACTTCTGATTTGCTTCACTGCACAGCACAGCAGAAAATTAAAACAAAGTCCATAAGCATTTCCTAGAGAAAAGTGATTAGTTTTCAACAACAACAATTTACGGCATCTTCCTGCGCGACAGGGTTCCGTGACTGAATGTTATATCGCTCCAAGATTAGATATTCTGATGATATAATGCAAAGATTTTACCGAATCATTATTTAGTGGGAGTCATAAAAACCTCTTAAAATTAATCTTTCATGCACATCTAGCTTACCCAAAGTTAGCATTTAATTAGATGGCCTTGGCATGAATGAGCTTACTGCTTTATTTGCTCAATCAGTATATGTCTCTCCAGTAATTATAATTAATTCAAGTCATTGACTCACCTCCCAGCAAACAATGCTAAACACTGCACAAAATGGAAATAAATGCTTACCCTTTCCCAAACATAAAATTTCTTCTCACTTTTAAACTCAGCGAAATGTTTTTTGTTTTAGGTGACAGGGTATTTAATATATTATGTGATCCAGCAATCACCTCCTAAATATAACTTACTTATGAATTTAAACAACATATAGAAAATACACGAAGGGGAAAAAATTGAAATATATTAACTCAGCATTTACAACACAAAAGTTCTAACACAGATGTTTATGGCAATACAAAGGACTGTATTTTTCTAAGATGACCATTGAAAAGCACCATTTCCTAAGCTCTTGACTTAAAAAAATAATAAATTATTTCTTCATCCAAAATAAGTGGGAATAAACCAGCCATATTCACTCATAAGCAAAACAGCTTTTGAAGAGCTGAATATAAAAGAAGGGTCACCATTTTAAATTTTAAATAATCAAATATCCTCAAAGCTTTCAATAAGCACAGGGCAGAAACCCTCACGGTGCAGCGCAAGACACCGACACTGCCGGCACATGGCTCAGCGTGAGCACACTGGCAGCAAAGCAGGATGCTGAGCACGTCTATCAGCCTCGGGACCGAGACCCACACCACC